ACTCATTGAGAGTGTGAATTGCAGGGGAATGACGAGCTGCTGCAGTGTAGCATGGCATGGACCGATTGAGAAATTTGGGCATTTTGCAGATAGCACAGGTCTTGATAGAGATTTTGTCGAAGGTCGCCATACCTGAGCTAGAGTCAAGTTTTCGGGCAAACCTTAAGGCTTGTTCGGGGTTTATTTGTACATCGAGATCACCTGTGGTGCTGGTTTCCTGTGTAAACTGATCACTGTCGGCAGATTCTCCGAAACGCTTCTGGCTCATTTTCAACAAGACAATTTTTCGAGGCGTGAATGATCCCCCAACACAAGACAAAACTTCATCCGCCTGCTTCAATTGTGTCATGGACTTTTCAAATTGCTCGATATTTCTTGAAACTTGGCGTTGGGGTTCCTTTGCAGTTGCCTCGCTTTTGATGGACGTATTGACTTTGGTCATGAATGTCTCTATTGTCTCAGTTTTCTGACGAAGTGTCTTCTCTAACGCGTCAATCCTGCGGAGTAAGTTTTCTCTTTCCTCGGCCGCAATCGCTTTCGTACTTGGCGATGTCGTTGTGTCCTGTATGTTATGGATCCACTTCTCTATGAGCTCCCCGACATTATGACTCGATTCGACCCCAGTTCCGGTCGGTCCATTCAGAATGCGAGCCATTAGCATTCCATTCTGCTTTTCCAGCCTATCTGCTCTCTGCTCGGCTTCTCTGAGGCGGTCTTCCAGTGACTTTCCTTCGTCTGGTTGCAAAGGCTGGCTGTGGTTCACCGTTAGTACGGACTTAAGTGACGTTGTTGCTGCGTTAGTCGGGGACATGACGGAATCGGGGAACCCGCGAGGAAATGGGTGGCAAGGGACACCGGCGCCTGGCACAGGTTCTCGAAGGTATCCCGAACCTCGAATGTCCGCAAGGGTGAAATTTTGGCCGTCGCTTGAGCATGGCGAGCGTCCTTCGAACGGTGTGGTGGCTGCGGTGCTTGGACCAACATCCTGCAACGAGGACCCTTGACTCCATCGTATATCAATTGGTTCCGTGATCGAATCAGCCGAATCTACACTAAATCTCGAGACGGCACGACTTCTGCGATGACAGACTGCATTTGAACGGGCTAATGAGGGACGTCTTGAAACCTCCTCCTTTTTTGTGTTAACATTCGCGAAAATTGCGTCGGAGTCAGGAGTATTCATCTCAAGATCTCTATCGATGGGTGCTGTTTGATATGCAGGTCGACAGTATTGTTGTGTGACCTCTCTATATTGGTTGGGTTCATTTGGAGTGAATATGCCTCCCCATCTCCGACGGGTCTGAGTGGGGGATGAAAAAGAGATATGCCAGGATGGAATACTTGCCGCCGATGGCGTCGAATGACAAGTTACTGACATTGTCATTCATATTATCCGGTATAATATCAGAAGATGGACGGCAGTCCTTTTGCGAAATGAGAAATATATCATGAGAATTGGATGGATGATACCAGAATCAAGACAGACCGAGAGCAAGAGAAAGTAGACAAACGCTAGGGGCAGGACACGAGGCAATGCGCCTTAAAACATTTTCGGTGGCTAGAGCCCACCACTGGTTTTATCTTAAGACAAAGTCGCACCGTAGGTTAAGGCTTCCGGATATTCGCCATGTGCTCATTTGCCATTTGTGTTGCTTACAAAAATTGAGGCGGTGGGCTATCTGCCCAATACCGCAGCACACTCAGCCGCATCGAAGTCTGGGCAGGTGTGACAGCCCTCATGGCTGATCTTGAAACGCGGGCAAATGATCAAACCACGAGTGAGCATCGAGAGATGGGCAGTGACAGAGGCAGATTTGGCCAATTTTGTTGAGGATTTTTTACAATGACAATGATAGACACCATGATAGGCACCTACCTTGGACGCTGAAACGAGTCCAAGCCAGGAATACGAACGATAAGTCGACATGCTATTCATGTCAGGCAGGATAATTTGGTGGGAACTTACATCATGGTATGTGTCTGGATGATCCGCCATGGCACGCCAATGGCGGCAAGCTGCATCGTCAGTATACTAGCTTACTTCGATTGCGCTTGAGATGGCGTGTCTCTACAAGTCCATGCGAGTAGGAAGCAAAAGAGAGATAGACGAGAACCCGGGATTGCTCCTGCGGGGGCGCGATGACGGCTCCTATCCCGTGCATTGCTTGTACCAATGACAATTCAAATTTGCTTCTGGCAATCCTTGACAGCCACTCTCATCACAGCCCAGAGACATCAATCAAATCAAACCCCACTGCTGGGCCTGTGTGTATTTTCTGCCTGCAGGCATCCTCTGCGGCTCACTAGGTTGGAGGTTGTGTGTCACGAGGCATGTTACGTTGGGAGGCCCACAATAAACCAAAGGCGACCCGACTGATTGGGCTGACTTTGGAACGCAGAGTAATAGTTGCACGTCTACCTGAAACGTCAGGGGTAGAAACAAACCCTATGTATGATAGATTTGTATCGTTAGTCTTGGAGCCTTATTGCTTTTGATGGGAACTTGGGATGTGGGCTTTGGGGCTTGAGTCTGTTCATTGTCCGAGGGCTTAACAGTAGGCTTTGGATGGCGGGAGTGGTGGCCAACAATGGCTGCCTCCCACTATTTTTAGGCTCACCACATTGGCATTCTCTAGATTTCGAATTCTACGAATATCGTGAGTTGTGTTAGCATTTATGTAGAATATTTCTTCATCAGGATCACACGAAAGGTATGAATTGTAAAGTGATTTGGGGACTGATGTAATAGGTAGTACTGATCGGACGTGCAATGTCTTCTCGCTTGATTGGGCATACCAGCAGGTTAGGTACATTAAGCTGAAACAGCACAATAATATCCCACCTTCCATCATGATTTTGCCCACCATCCTATCCCTCACCAATTTCTGAGGCTGATCTGATATGGCTGGTAACATTCATCGTCCCTTCGTGCACAACTCTTTGAACTCGGGCGAGATCCGGCTACTGGTTATCCATCCAAGCGCGGCTACCTGGTCACTTCAACATGTCTCCCTCTATGGCGACGTTGGAAATTTGGAATAGCATCGAATTTGACGCGCTCTCTTACACCTGGGGCGATCAGACTCATGACTTTCCACTCATACTGGCCGATGGTGCAGAACCTCGTGTCCATGAAAATCTCAACACAGCATTGCCATGCATTGCAAGACGACCTGGAGAGTTGCCAATATTGATCGACGCGGTGTCTAACAATCAGTCTCTTGAGACAGAGAAGCGGAGCCAAATTGCAATAATGCACGAGATTTATCGGCGTGCAAAGCATGTATTGGTATGGCTCGGGCCAGCCACCAAACATACCGAACGAGCCATATCCATTCTGCCAGATACTGCACGCGTTGGAAGTGAATTTCAACCCTCATGAACGATTGTGAAGGAGATTTTGGAGTCTCGTGGCCTTTCAAAATTCATCTCTACTGTTTGACCTGCTCTTTATGAGATTGTCAACACATAATGTCTCTGACAGTAGTGAAAAGACCAACACAGCTCGAAGAGCCACAACCTCGCACAGTATTGGCTCTGACGGCACTGAAGGCCACCAGTCGTAACCTCAACCTCCTTGACAGGTACCACGTCCTCACCAGTGAGCCTCAACGCTCACAGATAGTATTCTAAATCGTCAACCACCTATAAAGAAGCTATACGAAAATTTTGCATAGTAAAGCACACTATCCATAGTAGTATATCTACTTGATAAGTATAAGTTTTAAAAGAGTACCTACAAATACCTACTGACTGCCACAGCATTTTATCATATGGTAAATACCTATCGCTTATTTTCCAATCTTAGTTGTTGTCGCCTTGATATATAGACTTTGTTCGAATATCTTAAAAGAGACGTTTCCTGCCCACTGTGGCATTAGTGGGGGCACCTTCTTCAGGAAGTGCCTAAGGTCTTTAAGGTGGAAGGTGAGGTGATATAGAAAACTGCCTCCTCCTTCAGTGGTAGAACGTGAGATTGAGGATCTTAAAATCCCCGGAGATCCCGGGTCATTCCTAAACAAGAACATTTTTTTATCTTGAGATTTCCTTGATCTTAAAATGTTGCTTCTTATTAACGACGTCATTTTTTATTATTATGTATATATAAATACCACCTCAACCCCTTGACCTAAATCAGTTGAAAAACCCCTAATCTTAGGATTCCTGGATATTATTTCGAGATACTAGTATTTCCATGCACCGAAGGCCCTAGGCAGGACCCCCAGTATCTATACTTACCTCCTCCCACACCAAGCGCCTTTCACCTGAATATGATACTCAAAACATGGAACCATCATCACAACATTTAGACATGGCCGAGACCTCTGGATCTCAGTTCTCTTCTTTAAAGACATTTCGTCTATTTGGAGACCTTTGTCTCGGGGATTCAGCACTTTATCTAAATGCACAAGATCTTGCAAAGCTACGTCTTTTAGAGCCATATATCAAAGATCTAGATATATGATCAAGACGTCAGTCATATATATACCTACTTTGAATTGTCACGAACGCTTCGTTTAGATTTGATGCAAGCGACTGGGCTCAGTAATGAGCAGGACTTTGAAACTCTCGTTGTCGAGGAAACACAGATATGGCAAAAATACAGCATAGACCGCGAACCTGAATTCCTTATACGACTAAGCGGTCCGCTCGATGCGTCCGTTCCTTGTCACTTACATAACCCATCCTTCACAGTTGCGGATCTATTCCTTGGGGAAATGGCGGATTCAAGCAATTTTGCATTCGGCAGATTCTGAACATTGGGTTTAGTATTTAGTCCTAATCATTATTTGATATACGATGACCTGCTTCGGCACGAAGTCCTAGATGGCTTTAAAAACTGTAAATGGGATAATGAACGGCGAGGTATAGGATCTCGGGCTCCAGAGACAAGATATCACCTTGGTGTAAAAGAATGAGTTGATACGCGAACTCTGTCTTTGTAATATGGCTATTTGAAGATCCTCGCTTTTGCTGCCGGATGAAAACTTTCAATGTGCTCACATATACGAAGCGTCATAATATCCCTTGCTCGCATAGCTGCTCGTCAGGATAGTGGTGATTGGTACCGCGGAGCTCAACTTCGTCGCGAAACTCGCCCTCGTGCCCTGCGAACCCTTCCCCGAGTTGTTGTACTCTCCAAACAGGACATTGCTAGTCCGCTCATCGCCCGTATTCCAGATGCGCCAGCCTGCGCTGTTGATAACGGCACTCATTGAGGTATTCTGGAAAACGACCCGAGCGTAAGCGCCCCATGGTCGGCCTAAATAGAACGCACCTGCCGTCACGCTGTTGCCCGATGCAGCAGCGATATCGCAGTTATTGAAGACATAGTAGCTGACACCGGAGGAGGAGGACCGGCCATTTGCTGTAATGTAGCCCAGACTAGCCGCAAGAACTCGGATATCGCACTTTTCGAACCATGCTAGACCATTCTGCCCAAAGATGAAATCTGTCACCCCCTGGATGAGGCACTTTGAGTACAGCTGGTAGCCTTGCTGCGCCAGAAGCGTGTCTTGGTAGCCGGTGAACTTGCAGGCATAGTAGCCGCTATCAGCGTAGGCGCTGAGGGCAACAGCCTGGCTTCCCTTGCCATAGCCATTGTTCACGTTTATGTTGTAAAGCTTGAAGTTAGTCGCCTTGACACGCAGCGTGGCCGTCTCATCATTGGAGAGCCCATCAGCTTGGCTCTTGGACGACGTGATAGTCACCTGGTTGCCCGAGTATGAGGAGGTGTCGCTAGTGTAGCCATATATTGTCAGCTTGGCCGAGCGGCTAGACACAAGCACCTGCTCGCTGTAGGTTCCTGGATTGACGAAGATGCACTGGTCTGACGTTGAAGAAGTCGACAGTGCATTCACGGCAGCTTGAATGGTCGAGTATTGTCCTGATGAGGCTGACTTGCTCACCACCAGGCATCCAGATGGAGCGCTGGTTCGGCTTGCCGCGAGTGCGGAGGTGATGAGAGTCAAGAATGTGGCAAAAGACTTCATTATCGCGATTTAGGCTGGGTGAAGTATGGCTTGCGAAACTCTCCTTCTAGCCATGAGGATATCCTGATCTTTTATCCCCCGAAGAACCCCTTATTCTGCAAATCGCGTTCCTCTCGACAGATTTGCCAAGAGCATTCTCTGGACCTTGGGCCCACCATTGGTGGACCTGGAAACGGACTGCAACATCATGCCTCGTGAGATGTGCGAGGGTTAGTCAATATATACATTTCCCAGCTCCGCAAAGAGTAGCCTCAATCTGTTGTAGCGTAGTTCCGGGGTTAATGTGGTCCATTTGACCACTTCAATTAATTTCTGGTTCGCTGTTGGCGGATAAATCGAAAGCCGGCAGCATGGGTGAGGGAGGTTTGTTTGACGTCGGAGCAGCTTGCAGGGGTCGTCCTGAAAACGTGGGGAAGTTCTCGTCTGAAGTAAACGCGCTCTAGAGACCATACCTATGTATGACATCCTGCAGACATCTAGAAGGCGTCGATCATCTGTTGTCAAGACAAAGTGGCTTGCATTTGTGGATTAAGTCGATAAAGATCATCTGTTCTCTCTGCCTTGTGGCGCTACATCTTGGCTTCAGTGGGTTGGGTGTTTCACAACTATGGGTCAAACGGCAGTCATAGCCCAAAGGTCGTTGTAGACTTGAGGGCGAAATATACTTTACCGTAGGAAAATACGTCACCATTTGCTTCTACCTGCAAATTCGTGTCTAGGGAAGTGACTGATTCGGGCATGCCGAAAAGCAACGCGGCGAGCCTCCGAGCTCTGAAGCATTGTAAAGGGAAAGATACATGATAAAGATGTCACACATGATGACAGAAGGTACGGTATGATGAGAGCAATGCGACGAATTCGCACTTGGTCTTGTGGCTATCACAAATATCCAATCCTAGAGACCGAGATTGCCCGTCCTCGGGGCTTTCAGCCCAGTCCATGAATCATAATACGGCGAAAAGTACAAAGAAAGTCAGATATATACAGTGAAATGAACATTTGAATCCAAACACTCGACCCAAATCAGGCAGCACCCGCCCAGGAGCGCCACTGCTCCCAAGCCCCTTGCCAGAATCATAATCCGAGGTATCGTCATTACCAATGCCATCACCAGACTGTTCTCCAGAGTCACCCGAGGAACTTGAAGACGAGCCAGACGATGCGGGTGACGCTGATGAGCTAGATCGACCTTTGTATTCCTAGTTAGTACCACGATCGTACGTCCAGATGAGTATGAGGGAAATGCAGAAAGCGGATGATTGCGCGTGTAGGCATGATGTTTGGGCGGATTTAGTGAAGCTGAACGTCACGCGCGTGACGTCGGAGCTTCGCAGCACCGGGGCAAGTAATCGCGCCGGTGGAAGTGGCGGAGGGCGTAGATACTTCAATGGAAACTGACGCACTTGAGCTAGAAGCCACAGTCGGCGTAGCAGTTCCCTGAGCAGTGGTGCTCGGGTCCGATCCAGATCCGGAACCAGAATCGGCCGTGGTCGTTGGCGCCGTACCAGCAGGGCCAGTTGCAGAGCCGACAACAGCGGACGCGCTGGACGTTACGGCAGATGTGGTTTGAGCAACATTGGTAGCGCCGTCGATGGGGTCCGGACCAGGGATCTCATAGTTGCTCAGGCTCTGGTAGATGTTGATGAGGATGCCTGGGTCGCTGGCAGTGTATAGCTCGGTTCCCTTCACGCCTGTCGGGGTGCCGGACCCACCACCGGTGACCTGCAAGTTCACGCACTGGGGATATGCTTGAGCGCCGTTGTCTTGGCCCGCACTATGAAGAGCAATGATCTCATGTCGCAAGACATAGTTGCCAGCGGCGATGTTCGATGGTATTTGCACAAGCCACGAGTTGTTGTTGGCGACGAGTTGGTCAGAACCCCAAGTACCTGGTGCTGACGACCCATCCACCAGTCCTACACCATCGATCTTGAAGAACTCCAGGGAGGTCTTGTCGACCGTCTCACAGCTGTCACCGCAATTGGCTAGGTAGTCGATAACGGGGCCTTTATGAGATTCCGGCCATGTATTCCACTGAATGAAGACGCTGTCACCAGCGGCGACTACAGCATGGCCACCGGCATTGCTCGCCGTCTTGTGGCAGATGATGTCTCCGTCACCAAATGCGTCTGGCGCCACGAAGCCGTTGTCTGTTTGAGAAGTGGTCCATCCAACAACTGTTGGCGGGTTCTGCATATACGGGAAGGAGGTCGGATCGTAGCCCTGGTAGGAGACGCCATTAATGACAACGTCAACTACATGACCATGAGCAGTTATGGTCGCCGCGCCACCGAGTATGACAAGGAGAGCTTTCCAAGAGACGGATGTCATTGCGGAGATGAGTTGCGAGGAAGCAGCAAATTGCTTAATGTGAATTGGAGCGTAGGCCGGCTATATGTATGGTATCAAGAAGAAGCAGACGCCTTCAGTCAATGAAGCGAATGAAGATGAAAGAGCCTTCAAGGTAAAACGAAAGAATGTGGTGGAAGAGAAGCCTCAGCAAAGCTTGGCGAGGACAGAAGGCATCGGCACCTATAGAATTAGTATCGCTCGCGACCTTTATATACTCACAGCAACTAGCCAGCAGAGCATTCCATCCGATCAAGCCCACCTGAGCATTTCTGAATGATTGATTGATAGGTGAGAGAAAAAGATGGGCAGACGATAATTCTTGGAATATGGACCACGAAAGGCGGATGATGAGGGGCAATGGACACAATAGGTAGGCGGGAATCCCACGGTTTCAGTGAAATGAAGTGTTGGCAAGACTAACCGGGTATCTAGCCGATAGAGAAGACTGAATGGGCTAGAGGTGACGAATTCTCTTGCAGGGGATGCCCTCTGACAGAGAGCAGCGCATTTCGTCGCATGGCCGTGGCGGCAGGAGATAGACGAGCTTGACCATGGACCAGGCCGAGGAAGATGGGGCAGGGCTGCATTGACAGGCCCTTACCAGGGAAGCAGAGTCGATGATCGACCGGGGGCGCTCAACAAGAGCCCATGGAGAGATCCTACGAGTAGAGGCGCTGTGATGCGAGACTGGGATGCTCTCGATAAAGCATGGCTTGTCTTAATCAATGCTCGACCCGAGGCATGAAGAGCCTATCACGCGACTGGAGACAGGCGACAACTTCATGCTTCACATACGGGACCCTGGTTGTGTGCATGCATGACATAGAATCTTTGGGTTTCGCGCATACTCGTGTTGACCACCACACGTGAGCACAGAGCCAGGCTTTCGCATAGACATCGTCATCATGCTGTTGTTGCTGTTGGTCCGCGGTCTACAGTCCACCGTGGCGTGGCGTGACCAGTCAATTATTCAGTCAGTCAGTCAGTCAGTCAGCATAATGCTCGAAGCCTGATGTCTTGGAGATGGTGAAGGCGTGGTAGGCTCTCGATCTTGCGGGAGACGCTGCAGGAGAGGCTCTTTCAGGGGGTTTCAGGGGTATGTGAAGCCATGGTGCGGGAAGGGCTCCACAGGGGCTGGCAGGTGCCACATGGTGGCCCTTGCTTGTATCTGGCCAGAGCGTCGGCACCCCAGATAATCCGCCGTACTAGGTAGCTGTACTAATGCATGTAGTGTACAACTGTATAATGTACGGTTGTACCGTGCTGTACTAGGTATGGACGGGACTGTATTATTTTTTGTTGTTGTCATTTTACTCCAAAAATCCTGCGGGTTACTGTGTGCTACCAGCATATATAGTACCCACGCTTGCAGGGATGGCTTCTGTTGATGCCCGCCTGACCTGACCTGAATTGACCTGGACTGAGCTTTGGCTTTTCTTTGGGCTGTCCAAGCAAAAGGACGCGTCGTCGTCGTTTGTCTTCAAACAAACCTCATTCACTCATTCATTTTCCTTTCCATCATCACACCAAACAAACCATCGCCATACCACCACAACCGACCAGATCGAGAACGGCGGAGAAGTCTGGAATTTCTGCATCGGCTCGGCACGTCCTGTACAACACTCCAGTACATGTACCAATCAATACTGGCACCATAATATTATCGTCCTCTAATAATTGACAACAATCACAACAACCTGCATCCAACTACTGCAGGTACCTAATCAGCCATCCACCCATCCATCAGCTGCCCAATCTACTCGAGACGCTTCGACCTGCATCTCGCTGGTTCGGCCGCCATCGACACGACCTGCTCCAGAAGAAGCTCAAGCTATCACGTCTACCAGCACACGACCATCTATCCATCCACCTATCCATCAATCTCTTTTGTGTCTATTTTGCCGCTGGCGGCGTCCCTTGTATCAACACGAAAGGCCTATTCACGGGCCGCATTGGATCTCTGACCTCGCCTGTACGGCATCACCATGTCCCAAAGCAACTATGTCGGCGTAAACATCCCGAGCATTAGTCAGACATTCGGCGGCAGCGCCTCGGCCAGCTGGAGAGATGACTTCCACCTGCGTGCCGCCGCCGATGCATCCCGGCCGCCTGCCATCCTCAGCTGGCGTCCGCACCAGAGCAGCTTCAGCCCAATCCCGAAGGAGCAAGCTCAGAGACAGGTGCGACTTCAGTTGATCCTCTGCTGAGCTTTTCTGAGTGCTAACTTGACTTCTTTCCAGTCTCTTCCGAAGCTGTGGGACGTTGTAGGCCCGAAGGAGAACCTGATAGCCAGACCGAAAGAGCCCGAACGGGCTGTCACACCTCCCAAGCTCCGCGTACCGCTCTCTCCCGCGCCAGCATCTCGAGCAAACCAGGCTATCAGGGCAGCGCCGATCGTGGATCTGACACACTCGAGAAAGCGAAAATCGGATGACTTTAGAGAGGTCTCAAATTGGGTGAACGATCCGTACAGCAACCCGTGGATGCCTGCGGAGCGTGAGGTGTCGCGGCTCCCACCAGCAAAGAGATACAAGAAGATCGACACGGGCGCCAGATCTGTTGCCTCCACCTCCCGGACGGTAACTGGGCAAGATCCGTTAGATGTGTCTGGCATCCGCTTGGCCGGCGAGGAGAAGGACGGTGTGGAAGTCTTTGACACCTGCGACACAGTCCGGAGGAAGATCCGCGCCTTCTTGAGAAACTCGGGTATCACTCAAGCGGCCTTCCTTCGCGCTCTAGCTCAGACATTCAGCGATGGCCGCAAGCTACAGGGGGCCCAGCTGAACCGTTTCCTGAGTCTCAGCGGCCCCACTGCAGGGAACACGAGCGGTATCTTCTATGCGGCATACGTTTTCTTCGAGAAGGTCCGCATCCGGGACGGCAAGCCCAAGAGCACCGATCGTCTCGAGATGGAGCGGATCCACCCGAGCGGGATGAACACGACCGAGATTAGGAATTACTTCCTCACGATACACAAGGACGAGCAAATGGTGGAGGATAAGTTCGGGAGGATCAAGTTCATATAATGACAACCCTTCTAAGGAGGACCTTTTACTTCGCTGAGGAGATGAGACTGGCTCTACACACAACACTTCAGCCGCAAGGCGCCGTTACGATTTTATAATACCCTTTGTTAGCGATGACTCTCACCTACCTACGCGTTTATCGTTGTTATACCAAGCTAGTCGCACTGGCGGCACACGAGGGATGTGCCCACCCTGCGCTCATGATCGAATATATATAGCCACTAGACTTATGTGTCTGGTTTAATACTCAATAATCTAATTAATATTATACCCTTGCCTCAACTCAAGTTACGGATTCTTGGTGTGTATACAGATAGATGGATGAAACTTGGTCAGAAGTAAATGATACCATCGAAAGTTCGGACCCTCACTGGCACTACTACCCCATGCCTTGGGATACATTCAATTCGCGGAGTGCGAGACAAGAAACTCGTTTACTGAGAGGCTTGCTGCCAATATAGTTGATGTCCATCCGACTATCATAGAGAAGGTATCTTGGTTGAGTCATACTACATAAATCATTCCAATGAACAAGTGTTCTGTAAATACAAAGCTGTTCCGCCCGTATAAATTTGTACCAAAATATCTCCCGTCTCCTCAGTGACGGAGTGTACCGCATAGACCTTATTGTGCAAATAGTAATCTCCACTGATGAGAGAACTGAAATCCCGAATGAGCGACTACCCATCGCTTGACGATAAATGAATGTTTTCCAAACTATAAAATTACAAATACCAGCCGTATACAAATCTGACATCGTTCACAGCGAGTCACCACTGCCCCTGGACCTCAGATTCCTGAAGCTCTTCTTCAGCCTCAGGCTCATGCTCGACTGCATGCTCTTCAGGCTCCTCGGGCTCTGGAGGCCGCTCGTCTGCGGCCGCGAGGAGAAGGAGGTGGTGCTAGTCTTTGGGCGCGAGGCGCTCGTCAGGGGCCGGGACGCGGCCGTCTCCACGCCCGGCGGCGGCGCCGGGATGCCGAACATGCAGCAGGGACAGACGGGCGAGCCGTTGGCCTCGCGGCACCACATGGGCGACGGGCTGGGCACCGCCGCCGGGAACATGGGCGCGTCAGTCACGCGCAGGCTGGCGCGCCACATGGGCGACTTGGAGGGCGTGGACTCGATGAAGATGGGGCTGTCTGTGGAGGGACGATCCCACATGGGCGAGGAGGGCGATTGTGGCTCTGGGAAGAGCAGGAGACGCGTCCACTTTGGTGCCATTGTGATGGACTTATGTGTGAAATGTTTGAAGTTATAAGACGTGCTTGCTTCACAGTCTCGCCTTGCGAGTGAAGGAGGTTGATAGTAGTCTTTGAAGACGGTACGATAACAAGAGGAGTCCTGTAATGAATGGTTTTCAAGGGAAATGAACAGCAACAGACTTTCAGCCCGTCCTCGTCTTGTTGATATATATCTCCGTCGTAATGCCAGCACTTGCCAGCCTCCATATTCTCTCCCAGTGCAACCTGCTGCTTACTGAAAGACTCTGCTTCCGCACCCATCTCACCGTTCATCATCTCCTGGAAGATGCAGGTATGGATGGCACTGACCTCCCACCCATCGCCAATCCCTTTCTCTTCGGCAATGGCCTGCTCGCCGCTCACCTGTCAACAGTCCAGAGCCCGGGCCATCCAAGGGCCAAGTGCCACTCGGATACCACTCGATGCCCAGATGGAGGCAAGCTCGAGGTCATCTTGGGGAAATGAAACCAAACGGAATGGTCGCCGCCCAATGGGACGGCCTGACGTGCTACGGCAGCCGTCCGAATGCGCCAAGGATCGACGGCTGTTCCTGCGCGTCTGACATCCGTGCGGCTCGGTCTTGCAGCGTGATAAGGCACCGTGAGCCACACCATCCAGGGGTTCCCGGAATGCCATGCGGGGATTCTTGGCCGGGGATTGGGGGAGGCAGACATGGCCCGGGTGTGGGTGTGTATGTGTGTGTGCGCAAAAGGTCGCATCTGCGCCGCCTACAGCTAGACGACGAAGATGTCAATGGCGGGCACGTCAACTGGTCGTGAGGTCGGACGGCCTTGCATACATCCGCGCATGCTGGAGGCGTTGAGCTTGGTTTCGACGAGAGGGGTTTGCAGCGTCAATGCGTTTGCCGCCACCTCGCACCGCATACTCATGATCTCACTGAAGACCGCCATGGCCTCCAGCTGCAAAAGGATTGCCAGGTGGGTGAGGGGTCGCTGCGGGTTGCAGATTAATTGTTTGAAAGGCACGCAAAACATCTGCAAGGTGCTGGTGTCTCATGAAAGAAACCGGGAAAACAGTCTGCAGGAGATAGAAGATTGTCCGTACCACAGTAAATAGGGGCCGGTGTTATGATCCACTACAGCCGGGGGTGGAGGCGGGTATCCGACGGTCCAAGAGCCGTAGTGATAGTCCAGTGCCAAAACTTGTATATAAGCAGTCCCGAGATGATTGACCCTGGATTCACATGATTTTTACAGATGATGCGCACAGATTAGAAGTTAAACGTGCCTGGTATCATGGGACTTTGATAGTCAGGTCTAGTTGAGCTATCAATCTCCAGAGTGGCCTTCATTCGTCCTCAAAGCCCATCCCGCACGGACGAGCCAGAACACCGCGAACGGCGGTGTTGTCAACAGGCCCAAGATGCCTCCTAGGAGCAGCTTGAATATCTGCGGCGCCCATTTTGCCGTGAAGTACCAGTCGCCACCCCTCTTCGTGCCCACGGCTGTTAGGATGCCGACGCAAGGACCCCATAACAAGCAAAAGCTGATCACAGCCACAATGAACGCTCGCAGCACCTGAGAAAACAGAAAGAAGGCCCAATGGCCGACACTCCCAGGTTCGTTGAGCTCCTTCTTCCGGTCGAGAAACATGTACCAGCGGAGTACACGATTCTCGGGCTCCGGGATGAACCCAATGGGCTGGACAGGGCCAGACTTGATATCCCGGTTTACCAGGATCAGCTCGATGAGCCAGGTGATGATACACTGAACAATGATTGTGACGGCGGCATCACCAGCAAGAGTGTTCGGTAGCTGGAACAGTCTGATTGGATGTTTGTCCAGATTTTGTGTTGTGTACATCGCTTCCTCGGTGTTAGTCACGCCAAGCACAACTTGCAAGGGGCTTCAAAATCATACCGTAAGCGATTGCAAAATTGATGGCTCCAGACAGGACAAAAGCCCCTATTCCGTCGAGAATGAAAATATAGAATATTTGATATGCTGTCAACCTCTCGGAAGGCGCACGGATGTCTATGTAGGAGGCATTGTCCACATGATGATCGTGGTTGGCTGCTTCTGCTTCGGTTTCTGCTTCGGCTTCGACATCGCTGTTATTGTCCGTGTTCTTGGGCGCAGGAGATGCAAAGAACGGGTTCCTCAGCCATGTCATCCTGCCTTCAGCGCCTGCACTCCCGCACGCACTACCTGTCGATAAATTCTAGGAAAATCAGATGTCTCCGCATCTGATGTATTTATTTGAAAAGAATCATAAAATACAAAGAACCTGAAGAAGGAGAGGAAGACTCGGCGAACCTGCGCTGGGCTGATTAAGGGTCTCGCAGGGTCTCCGGAGATCCCGGTCGGCACCCAAGCTAGCGTCCCTTGCCGAATTACAAGCCTCCCGCCAGCGAGCTCCTCGCCCTACGGCCACTCGCCAGGGCAATCAATGACTAGTTGTTTCCTTTGTCAAGGTCAAAGTGCTCATGGTCAAGCTTATCAGTGAGCATCTACAGTAGATATACTCGCAGCCAAATACGCACACAGCGTTCAGAGACATCACTGCCGTCTAACGAGTCTCATTTCGGCACTTGGCCAAGAAGGAGCAGAATCGACTCATTTGAGAAGCGATCACCTAAAGTCGACCCACCGCTTCCCTGCAGCCTATGGACAATTATTAGGCACATTAATCAACAACTACCGTTCTTCAGGGTTATAAGCACAATCTATCATCCCCATCTTGCATTTATGGCATTGTAAACAGTCGCGTTGATCGGCAACACACTTCCATGCCTCAAATTCTTCGGGAAGTTTGTCATGTTGCTGGCCGTCCAGCCGGTATTGCTCTGCGGGTTGCTCGTCTCGTACGGATGGTACCCGTCGCCGCCGTAGAAGTCTAGCAACACGTGCGCCTTCCCGCTGACCTGATTGTCCCAGTACGCGGCAGGGCCCTCGACGCTTGACTGGATGATCGCGCTGCTACCGCCCGGCCGAGTCCATGTGCCGAAGAGGCCGGACGTGGAGTACTCGACGAAGACCGTCTTGAGAGTCTCATCCTTCATGAAGCGCAGGAACGACTTACCATCGCCGTAGGGGAGAATCGTCAAGTCAATGATATTTGTTGGAGACCTGTCAATGTACGTCTGCGGTGCGCTGAACGTCTTGAAGTCTGACGTGTATGCATAGCGGATTCGGATAGCTGACGGCGTCCCGGTATGCTTGGTGTCTGATGCAGTGTACTAAAGGTCGTCAATGACGCCCGGTGCAAGACCCGAGTCAAACTACTTACGAACTTGGACGCCCAGAATACCATGTACTGGTCTGCCCCGGGGTCAGCTGGAGTCGGCATCATATTGCGTTGAGGAACTCACTCTTCTCAGAATCCCAGATGGCTTCAGGAGCCCATACCATCCCGGCAGTTGGATCTTCCACGACAACAAGTCGCTCATTCGTCCAATTGACCAAGTCCGTGCTCTCCCATACAAAGATGCCTCGAGATCCATTGCGCTGAGCAACGTCCCAAGTGGTCTGAAATCATGTCAGTCAGAGAAAGGAAGCTAAGAGCCCATTTAATGACCTTCGCGATGTCCAAGTCTGTTCCGACGATGTACCACTTCTTCCCAGCTTCAGTACCGCCGCCCTGAACAATGGCGGGATCACGGACACCCCCTGTGCCTTTCGTCGGCTTAATCACTGGAGAGCCTTTGTTGAGTGCTTTGAACGAGATGGCATTGTTTCCGTTGCTAAGGTAGAAGTATACATATGGGTCTGCTCCGAGGAAGAAAGCTCCTAGGTATCCCGTCAAGTTCGGGTCTGCTCGCTTTATGCATTGTATGCCGACATCACGGGGGCCGAGAGCTGCAGGTAGTAATTGAGCCTCTTGGTTGTTGATGACCAACCCTAGAGACGGTACTGAGGCCAGGATCGCCGAGGCGATAAACAAGTATTTACACCTTGATAAACACACCATCGTCCCTCTATTGGCATCTGCTTGAACCTGGTAAGGCAAAAGGGTAAGGTACTGCATCCCCGCAGGGTTTTCAATATGGGGATGGCCATTAATATATCCGACCGTATCACAGTACTTCACATATTCCCGCCTTCAGTCGGCACAGATCTCACATGCAAGATCCACCGTGACCCCAAAGCCAGGCAGTGCTGCGACTCCACAATCGTATCAATACGGCCTCCAGCTGCCCTTTAGGCTCAAGGACCCGAGGGGCCCCGCGACCAAACATGGCTAAATAATATCACGTCTTCGCGGGCTTATTACTGCCGGCAGAAATCAAGTGTGTGGGGATCCAGGTTCCCGGGTGGTGCGGTTGGTGGTCTTTGCGGAGACACACCTTCGGGACAGGATTCGTGGACAAAATGGGGTTGCGCCGTGACGTCGTACCGCCCGAGCTTGGCGCATGATGCTGTCTTGCGATCTCGTGTAGATCCCCCGGCACCGTATGCCCCGCGGCTGCGGGAAAATGCAAGCGCGGCAGATGCACCGAGGAGCCGCGGATCTCATGCGGAAGCTCTCATGGTTCATTCACTGGGGTAGGTACTAACTTAATTTCAAGCATGCGAAACCTATTCGCCGTTATTCAAGAGTTATTGGTTAAGAGGTGACAAAAATCTGAACTCAAAAGGGGTATCTCATGTTGATTTTACCAAGTACGCCAGCGGCAAAATAATACCAAAACACCATAAGATGTGCTGCCGACATCCCGTTGTGCAATCACTGTGTCCTCAAAGCTCTTCCTCTTCTTCTGTATGATGATCCCAGGTAGAGACCAGAGGAACAGGACGCCAATCGTGATCTCTCGCATTCTCAATCATGCTGTTGAATGCCGTGCGCCGGATCTCGAGCGCTCGCTCCGAAAGCTCCGAGGTTTGTGAATCTAGAAGATGACTATCATCGCGTCTCAACTCGCTGTCAAGGCCCTCAACTTCATTGAACTGATCAATACTCCGTTTGCGTGATTCAATCTTAAGAGTAGGGAGCTGGTCCTCCTGAGAGTCATCTGACTCAGAATTTGTGAGATCAATGACAATTCCCTGGCTGGGTGCTGGACCATCAGAACTTGGATGTTCAGGAGAAGAGTTTCTGATTCCAATTTCAGATTTGGTCGTGGTAGTGCTTTGAGTATCGCTGTCCCCTTTCACCTCCTGCAACTTTTCGGCAAGAGCAGCTAACTTGGAATCATATGAGAAGACGCTGCCAGTGCAGTGCTTACCAAACAATTCTTGGATGGAGATGCCTTGTTCAGACATTAATAAACAATGTATACGTGTTGTCACTATGCGCTTACCGTTCTGGATCCAGTCCATATCGTGAGATGTGCACGGCCAGACATCTTTTGGCTTGAAAGCTCCAACTAGTAGGCACAGTTCTGGATAGGATGCATGTCGAGAGTAAGGGAAAGAAATCCTGTTTGGCAGCGTGCTAGATTCGTCGTCCCTCTTCTCTTTTCCTCTCCCCAATTGTGCCTTTTTCGCAACTGACTCGACTGCTCTTGCGAGCTTGGTCTCGTTTTCTTCGTTAAATGACGACACATCAAAATTCAGGGAGACATTTCGGCCAGAGGCAAATGACTGCAGAAGAAACGCCCGGACCTTATCCTTCAAGTCATCGGCAAGGTCATTGCTCTGGAGGATTCTATGTGGACGCATCAGCAAAAGAAAATGTTAATCAAGCAAGGACTGTCGTACATTTCAATCAGTGCCTGAGCCTCATCAGCCGAGAAGAAGTCCAGCTCGGCTTCTCGTTCCAGATCATCACCGCCTCCTCCGATGCCAATCTCAGTGATGTCATAGCCATTCGGAAGATGGGCTACGATGGGCCGGATCCAAACAACTGGACGTTTCTGCATTGTCGCGCAGTGTGTGCCTTTCTCGCAGCTGTGTAAGCGAACAGTGTCATCTGCAGTCAAACATCCAGGATGTGAACGATTGCCGCACATGAAGCCGACTAGTCCGGGGGCTTCCGGAGAAATGTGCACTTGCCTGCCGTATCTCGAGATAGCATCTTTCATGACCAATGAGTGGTAAAGCCCCAATTTATAAGCATCGACATGAATCTAAGATAACTCAGCAGTAGCTCATCGAGAGTGAAAACATAATTGATTGTACCCACTTTTGTGTTCAGGGCTTTCGCAAGGGCAATCCAAACATCCTCGTATCTTGTAATCAGATCAGCAACACGAACCATGTAAGTGTCAAGACTAACATACCCATAAGTCCAAGCCTGAAAGTGAAAGATGGTATCGTTTGGATACTTTGAGACCTTTCGTAGAAGCTCTTGTAGTCCCTCGGCTTTGGTCTGGAAATGGATATCCTCAATGTTCGAGGTGTCGAGGTATATCTTGTCCAGTGTCTTTATACCAGATGTATACTCAATAAGGCAGGGGTTTCTTGCTAGAGCATTGACAAACCATGGCTCACTCCGTGTATCTCCGGTATAGAGTACTGCTATGTCTTCCCGTTCGAACACTTTCTTTTTTGTAAGCAACGTATAGCCTCTTATAACATAGGTCTCAACACTTACGGAACATGACCGAGCCCGGACAATGATTGGCATCGAAGAGAGTGACCCGGATCTGGACACCAGCCTCGAGTTCCAACTCCGTTGGCGTCTCGAGCGGGAGAGACTTCTGCGATACTATTCAACTTTCTGTGAAACCAAACTTTCAATGATTGGAAAACTTACCAGGCGTGCTGCGAGGTGTTTGTAAGTTTGGACCCGTGCCTCGAGTATGCCTTTGGCATAGTTGATGCGGCATGGGTACCTCTCTAAGCGGAGAAGGAATTCTCTGGTTGGTGCAGAGCAATAGACACTGTCTGAGTCAGCACGCATTTCCAAGCATATGACATTATACGCACAATGGAGATCTCAATGTTTCCAAGCCCGCCAGATGATCGCTGTGTATGTGACTTAGGAAACATGCGAGTGGTGGTCGTAACGTCGGATGAGAGCGGAAAAAGTCAACTATTGACATGTGAGACTAGCCGTATCTATTAAAAAGAAGACTGACCTCTGATGTCAGGAAACTCGGTGATTACACCGTTGAAGGTCGACATAACTTTGTTTCGGGTGCCGGCTTGGCTCAGAGTGTTAAACCCATGACACGGGCAAATTCGTGGCTAATGGGATGAATCAGATCTGCGCTCGATCATGCGGTACTCCGGCGAGCAGATGTGTGCAGGATTAGACTGCTTTGTTCTTGTCTGCTTTCGCTGTTTTAGGGAATTTTGAAGTTTGAGATTTCTGTATGACTGATGATATAATTATGGTGCTAATTTAGCCTAGTGCCTGACTCTGTCTAGTGAGGGTGTGCCTGCCTAAACCAGAACATCTGGTAGGGCTGATTGGTCTAAGGCAGCAGCTTAGTCAAGGTTGCTTGCACCACAACAAAGCAGCTGTATGCACCCAACATTCAGAACTGGGTACCTAGCTATTGTATTTGGTCATCTCGGCAGCAAGTCTCTTCAACCAAGACTAACGACCGATGAGTGATTTATTTCGAGCTGTTTAGCTAACAACTCGAAGCTAACAACTCGATGCAGATGCAGACATTAAATGAGACCCAAGCTTTACACTCACTGAGGTACCTAACCTACTAGATCAGGTGGCGGTTACAAAGCATCCATCCTGGAGCTTGTGAACTGTGACGTCCGCCCACTCGGACAAGTACCTCAGGAAAGCACCCTTTTGTGCCACACTCTTGAACAGCGAATTTCTATTTTTCTACCAACCGCTACACCACTCCTTTTTTAATATTTTTTAAAGGTGATTCGCCTTCCCCAATCCTTCACACCTGTGCGCACCCAACAATTCGATCGAGGTCAACTCTCGTGGCGCGACCATGGAACAGGAAGGAGACACCTCCGACGAGGGACGCGAGGGTGAAAACTCGGGTTTCCGTTGGAGTAATCTTCCACCAGAAGTCCAGTTGGAGGTCATAGAGCTACTTTCACGGACGTACCGCAGCCGCGGTCAATCTTTTCTATCAACTCAGGAGAAACGCAACAGTACAACATCGTCATCAGAGCATCGCCTTGCAAATTATGCTTCTGTTTGTCGACACTGGAATGCGTTTTTCCAGAAGCTTCTGTTTCACTCACTCATCATCCGCCCCCAAGACCTCGCGTTGTTCGTCTTCATGACCCGTATGCACGGAGACTTGATACATCATATTTGTCTTGTCATCGAACTTCCGTCTTACGATTGCTCCATGTGTGGCGAATATGACAGCGAGGGGACAAAGGCTATCAATCATGCCATCATCAAGACAGCCGTCTACGAATTTTGGGCTGTTCTCAACAGCTGGGAACAGCACTATCGAATGAGTCCAGCTAGCCCAATCCAGGATCTGACGTTCGAGCTCAGCATACATTCACCGAGTGATTCCGAGCACTACTTCAAAGAGATGTCGATCGATTTACTTGGCGATGATGATGAGCCATCTATTGCCGATGACCCGGCGCACGGCTGGATCAATGGTCGCCGAAATTTTTCATCGATAACAAACGCAAGAAAGGCTTACAGGAGAATTATCGGTCGACCAACGAGTTTCATACCCATTTACAACTTCTCCCCTATACCAGTGATCAAACACTTTCGTTTACGTCGGCGTTGTCGCCGCTTATTTGCTCCTAGCAGTTTGATCGGTATCTTGCAAAGTCTTCCGGGGCTTGAGAGACTCTCGATTGAATCCTGGCGATCGATAAGCGACCGACAGGAACTCAATGATAGACGTAGGAAATTACCCCATTACGGATGCGATGTTCATTATTAACAAATAAAGCTGACATAATCACAGAATGGCCCATTTGGTTTCCTGACCACTTGTTGAACCAGCTCACAAGCTTGTTATACTTTGAGGACTTCAATGAGGACATGGATGATTTAGATCACGGCGATGGCACACCAGGCAAGGGCCAAATAAGAATTGCTTACCAGCCCTTCGCGGTATGGCTTGCAAGCTTCAAGAAATTAGAGATACTATCAGTATCCTTCATCGTCGAGGCAAAGTATTACTTTGAAGCCGTCCAAAAGTACCCAGGCGTGAGTGCCTGGCAACAACTGAGCAAGTTATCGCTGACTTCGCTTTTGTTAATGCCCAAAACGGACCGTAATGAGACGGACACCTTGTTGTTGACCGCAGCAACCGCCATAGTACGGATGCCTAAGCTGAAGTTGCTGGAACTATGGTATGGAAGACGTGGAACTGCGTGTCTGTTCCGATACAGAATTAGTCGCGATGGAATCGCAGAGATCTTCTGCGCCGGAACGTGGGAATTGGCACTACAACCTAGAGTGTTGGATGCTTGGACGAAAGTGTCTCATCTGCGTACTGGAAGGGAGATCCGAGTAATGGAACCACGAAGAATTGACAGCAGCCTGATCCGATCTCACGGCGACGCCATCCATCATTTGGGCCTTCTGACTGAGGTGGTTCATCCGGTATCTCTACGAGAGATAAGGAGGGAAGCTCGAGACTGGTCTTGAGAGTCAAGTTTTGGGGGAATTGCTTGGTTAGATACGTCTGCCACCACATCTCGATGAATACTTCTGCAGATGCTGACAGCCAGCCCTCACGATAGCTGCGATTGATGCTAGTCAGAAGAATAACCTCATGCTAATTCGCGGGTTTCGATGAGTCTCGTAGTTATTTCAATAGCGAATCTGAGTTCGTAGTATCTCTTAAGCGGCGATCTGTTGTGATACGTACAACCTCGATGCAAATGATAGAAGTGTTTTCTTCTGACATGAGTGACTCGCAAGTGGTCGCAATGTATTGACCTGCGGGGCTGATGCATGCACAACGAACCCACAGGTCAGTACCAATACTGAATGCGCAATCCTTGGCATTTCGTGCCAAATTCGCAACAACTTTTGCCCCCTATGATTTTCATACTCCGCAGTCCGCTTTGATTAAACCGCCGGTTGTGGGCCTTGGCCATGACGCTATATTGCGGAGGAATTGGGCTTGCCGGAGTGCGGGGGCTAGTTCTCGGGGTAAAAGCAACCGGAGCCTTGGCTTTGTTGATTTATAAAGAACAAGGGTCATGAAACTAGATCGTGCACACCGAAGAGTCATCGCTCGTCAGCGCTGATCATCACAATGCGACCCTTTGTTCTGCTTTCGTTGGCTTGTGCAGTGGCCGGCAAATACATCGTGCCGGGAGGGAGATGGCGCGACACAAATGGGAACTTGATTAGTGCCCACGCGGGCAATGTCATTACAGATCAAGAAACGGGCAAATTCTTCTGGTTCGGTGAGTACAAGATTGAAGGCCAGACTGAAGGTGGAGGGGTTTCTGTTTACAGTTCTGATGACTTGGCAACTTGGGAGTTCAATGGATTGGCTCTAGGTAAGTCACGACGATCTTACACGACTAGACTCTGTGCTAAACCTCATTTTCAGAACCAGTGGAGGGGCATCCGTACATATCTCCAGAAAATATCATTCAGAGGCCTAAGGTTGTTTGGAGCGAAGTCTCCGGTCAATATCACGCAAGTGCTCTTACGAAATATCTCGCTTTTCCTACAAGGATCTAACAATTATTGAAGATGTGGTGGCACGCGGATAATTCTTCGTATGGCTTGCTTCTACAAGGGTTCGCAACTTCGGACAACATTGCAGGACCTTACAAGTTCGTTAGCGCGACAGCACCACTAGGAAACTGGTCCCAAGATTTTGGGATGTTCACAGATTACAAGGATGGAAGGTCATATGCGCTTTATTCGAATGGTGACCGCAAAGAAGCCCGCGATGATTACATCACGAGCTACAATGAGAATGTTACTGCGTTGGAAGAAGTTGTTTATCGATTCAACAAATTTGATCTCGAGGCCCCATCAATCGTGCAGACCGAGAACAGCTACTACATGCTCATGAGCCATAAAACAGGCTACCGGCCCAATAACGTGGTCGCCTTCCGAGCCAACTCCCTTTCAGGTCCTTGGTCTCAGCCTTTTACGGTGTCGCCCCTTGGAACCCGAACTTTCAACTCGCAGTCAGGATTTGCATTGAGAATCAAGGGATCCAAGAAGACAACAGACTTGTATCTCGGAGACCAGTGGGACTCAAATTCTCTTTGGGAGAGTAGATACATCTGGTTGCCAATTGACATCGATGACGAGAAGAAGATACTCGATCTCGTTTGGAACGATATCTACGATTTGAATGTGAAGACTGGAGAGTGGGCACCCGTCGAAGGGACGGCTTACTATGCCAAGGATGCTACAACAACCGGGGATGCATTCATACAAGAGGCAAACTTCGCGAGCGGGGGACTCATCGCTACCGGTATCTACGGCAATGATAGTAAGGTGACGTTCGAAAGTATTGAGGGCACAGGCAAACCACAGTGGGTATCGTTCTATTATCAGAACACGGATGACATGGGCTTCGGGGATCAGCCCGGAGGAACGCCTGATCGCATCGGTGGTTCATGGCAGCTTCGTCGCATTAGCAGTGTCATTGTGAATGGCGACACGACAAAAGTCGAGAGCCTATTTCAGCGAGATACGAACAAAGGAATAATTCTGTCAACCCCACTGCAACTAACTCTACAGGAAGGAAAGAACAACACGATCACTGTGGGTGGCTTGTATAATGGTTTTGATTACAAGGGCGCAGACCTAGATCGTATCGTTGTGTATCCGCCGGAAGCTAGCTGCAACTAGAAGTAATGAACTCATCATCAATTCGTTGAACCAAAAAAAAGCGAGCCCATGCAATAATTTCCATGGGAGAAAATCTCCCAGAAACTGCCTCGTGTCGAATGTCCCGGAACGTAGCATGCCCACCTAATTATAAGATCAACTGCTTGGCTTAAAGAGGTTCGTATGTCCGAGGCAATGTGTCAGGTCTCCCGGAGACGATTATTCCAGCAACTGTTAATTCGAACCCAGATGTTATAGTTAGCTTCCACTCCCGAAACTCCATACTCTGGATCAAAGACATGAAAGCGGCAATCCTTTTCAATGGGACTAAAAGACTTGGCCGTCCGCTCTGAGGGGTGAGAGTAGACCACCACTCGCGTATAACTAAGTCTAACTCGCTCCTCCACTGTAGTGAGATGTTTTCTGGAAACCCTGGCCAACTGGACTGATCAGACTTCGGGTTCCAGCAAACCGATGCCAGGTTATTCCCTATTTCTGACCTACCGTCTTCCCAAATAATCCGGTGCACAACGTCGTAGAACTGTCCCATGCGAAGGCCGTCTGTGACCTCAAAACTGCAACCTCGGAAATCACGAGGCGGCCGTCCAGGAGTTTTCATTGCATGCATATAGCCAACCTTCCGCAGTGGTGGCTGTGAGACAAGCATTCGCCGCCAACTCGCTCCCGGACGAACAAAAGCCATGTGCTTCTTTCTTCTGCATTTGAAATCGGAAATAGGTAGCTCGCGAAGCAAAGAATGATCTCTCATCGAAATCTCTACGCCCTCTAGGAATAAAGGCGCAAACGCTGACTCAAGGAGTGGGTTTTGTCTTCTAGACAACGCTTGGCCAATATCTTTGTTTGTAAAGTCAGGCTCGGGTTTGAAGAAAAGTCGCTGCTGTAAGTATGATGATCGCAAGATGATGTCTCGCCACAGAGCGCACACACGCTGTGCCGAAACCAGCAAAGTCCATTCATCATATTGGCAGAGAATAGCCTCTACTAGCTCAATGGTGGATAAGACTCTGTCGCGACTTGGTGTGTCCTCGAACGCCGTATCGTCGCTCGTCTTTTGTCGTTTTATTCGCTGTTGTTTCATTATGCGAGATTTGCTCTAGTTTTCCTATCAGAGAGGGCAGAGCTGTGGCTTTGTACGATCAGAAAGCCGACTCACTACGCGAAACACGAAAAGAATTGAAGTGTGAATCTGTTCCTGGCCTGTAAGTTTACCCAGATTCATGCCCAATTGAACTTGTGCTGATATGTGACAGTCCCTTTGAAATGTGATACTCAAGCGCTTTGTGACTCACCACCTGGGCAACTCTCAATTTTATATTGCCAACCTGTTATTGGTCACGATTTGGTAACCCCCTCAGGAAATGCATGTACGTAAAGAGCTTGAGCTTGGAACATTTGTTCTAAAAACACATCCAGAAAAAAACTCAAGAGAGCAGCAGGAACCTGAGGTCTCACTTTTCCAATCAACATTGTCATACATTGAAAGCCTCGCCAAACAAGGGTTGGTCCACTCCCCGACAAGGCGATAGCCGTGAGCTTGGATTGCTCTGAACAATACCCGGCACAACGATCACCTAATATTTCCAGTCCCTGGATTAATATATTCTTTATTTCAATCACATTGGAAGGCAGCTACCAGGAGTTGGAATTAAACAACAAATACAATAAAAGAAACCCTAGAAATCATACCCCGGTTCTATTGGAGGAACACAAATGAGATGTAACAATTGATCTTAGTCCCCTCCGTTATCGACGCCAGATGCTCCCTTGACGAACTCTTTCCCATAATATCAACTACCAGATGACCATATGCTTCCCCCTTTGTAATCTTGAGCTCTGCTCTTATGGAGGCTCAACAACTTGAAAATTGACAGTATTGATGGATATGCCGTTGGGTATTTCGTTGCATTATTTCCGATATCGAGGCGGCTGGACAGATTCCAGTGATTGGCTGTCTTCGCAATCGTTGTTGAGGAGTGTTGAGCCACGATGCACACCAGTAGCACGATAGTAGCGGAAGTCAAGAATAGAGATTGCAGTTGTATAAACCGATAATATGCTATAAGAGTGATTGTGTCAGCCTCTTGAAACTGCTGAGAATCGGATCTCGTTGAAAAAGATAACCAGGCAGCAAAATTTCTGACTCACCTCATGACGATCGCGAGTACGACTACAATCCATGCAAGAATGCAGTTGGTCCCAACACAGTATCTCGTATTAGCTTGAATCACCATGAACGCAACGGCCGCCCATGTTACGATCTCTATGGCATTGAGGATGGCGTAAGCCTTGAGGCTCGCCCATCTCTTGAAGGGGCGGAAATGCTCAGTCAAGATCTGGTACAAAATGAAGACCATGGATTTAGCGCCCTGTACCCGATTCCAATGTTAGAAAGCCATTGCTGCCTCATCCAGTACGGGACCATTGGTAGAATCACTAACCATGCCTAAAGCCATTGTGTTCGCTCGCGTTCGGGGCACACCTTTTGGCCAAGTGAAAAGCCGCACTGCAGAAAGAGCGATAACCACATGGACCAGTATTATTTGCACGATATGTACGACAAGCTTGAATCGGGGGTTGAAGAGACCATTTGCTCTTGCCGTTGACCTAGAGGACGTGGTGTAGGCTGCCATCTTGCTGGGTCAGATATTGATGATAGGGTAAGGTCAAGGAAAGGTTTTTGAGTTGTAGAGGCATGTTGAACTCGGAGGGAGCTGCAGAGGCTTTATGTTTCCTTTAAGTGAATGAAGCACGGCGATTTACGTGTATTCTGGATTGTGTTGTTTGTGATTGCGACATTGTATGATAGACTCAGCCCTACCCTTTTGGCTAGCAATCTCTTGGCAATTCGGCTTCGCTCTCGTTCCCCTGTATCCACCCACCGTGCCAAGAAATGGGACACGAATCATGCAGACCATATTCCATTCATGCTGCACTTCCTTGCCAGTCATCAAATTTTCTTTGGTGTAGTAAACGGCTGCGGTTTAGAATTCAATATCTTGTCTTTTGATGGCATGCAAACATTTGTCCCATATAGGCCACCCATGTCCCAGGTACTAGACGATGCTTGGTGGGTAATCAAACTACAGGGGGTTCGACTGGGCAATAATACTTGCTTTGCTCCTCGGGGTTTATTCGTCCTAGCCAGGCGGGAAAAGTGCAGTCGGGTATTCCTTCGTATCTTCCACGCCTGTGTATCTTCGCTGGAGGAGTGAGATGTAAGATCTCGCATGTCACAAGCATAGAGAAGTTCTAGGCTACCTATCCGAGGGGCCCAAATGTTTTGGATTGACCACGTAATGGTAGATAATCATTGAGCTGTCGTGGCGCGGCAACATCCGTAGAAAGGGGGGTTACAATGCATATTGGCTTCATCCCACTGCACAATAACCTCCAATCGTAGGCACTTCAGCCATAAGGCTGGGCAGTTTTAAAAACAAGCTTATTCTGGTTCAAGCGGCATTGTTATTAGGGTTTCGCGTCAACGAAGCTAAAGTCTATTTGTGATGCAGGTGGTCGAATCACAGAGGGAAGCGAGGGCGTGAGCGAGACCGAGCCACGCTAGTCAGACACCTGGAACGCGGCTGTTCAAACACCAAAGGCCCTATTACGCGGCAACAGCTGGCTCTCATCAGATTGACATGTAACAACACAATAATTTTCGGTCGTTCTTACCTGTGGATCTCCAACTCTGATTGAGGAGACGATCTACATTTTTCGAGCAGAGCTTATCACCAAGACTTTCTCCGAAAAAAAAGAAAAAAAAAAGAAAACCTGGTTCATAGACAACTGCAGCGTTGAACGCGTGCCCTAGGATCTACTCTTTGAACAATGCTCGCATTTCCAATTACAGAATATGCTTTGATTTTCAAGTTCGTCTTGCTCCTGTTCACATCGGTTCTGTTTCTGCACATGTTCTTGTCGATTGTTTAAGAGGAATCGATTATCAATGTCGCTCATAAATATAGCTCTACTTTCTCAGTTCTGGATACAACAGCACACAAAGCTCTATCACTATGCTTCACGAAATCCTGCTAAAGGAGCAATGACCTGTACGAACAAGTCGGCTTCTAGTTCTGAACACAATATGGGCTGTGGTACTGAAGATAGGAGAGATGCGAGAAGCACAGCTCCCTCTGAAGTTTCGGAAGTTGTTGGCGTCTCGCATGGTGTCTGAGAGAAAGGTCCCGTACGCGAGATTGCTTGGCGCCAACGGTCTCGAACTCGAGATATTCTATCGCCGGCCACATTATGAGGATCAAGACAGATGGGCTGAAAACACATGCTCTCTTCCGTATCCAGTTGACTCACAGCAGCTGCGTTCTCGCGCAGACGATCTATTTCAGCCTCTCGATGTTTTGCAGTTTCCGCGTACAAGGCGGATAATGGAACATGAACACAGTTATCCGTCATATCGCTCTCCTCCGAACCTAGTGCGTTTTCTGCAAGCTCCCATGCGCGCTCTGAGGCTGGTAGCCATGGCCGATGCAGACTTTCTCTTAATATATATGCTACAGCGTTCCAAGGCATATGTGTTTCAAAGACCCATCGCCACTGTCGACATTCAATATTCTTTTTGAGGTTATGATGGCTTTCAACAACTTCGATAGCGGTAAGCCAAAATTTTCTCCTGGTACCCTCATCTGTGTCTGCAGTGTCACAAAATCTAGGTTGATAGATGGCAAGTACCATCTTCGTGGTGACGGTACGCAACAAAATCGTGACCATCTGGAATAGAGGGTCGTGTTCGAGAAGGGGGCGCTTGAGAAACTGTCCTTGCATTCGATGATACAGATTCACAACCAGGCGCTCCCATTCCGCCGGCGCCAGCCAAATATCCGCAGGAGACATAGCAGCCATGTTTGAATTGACCACGAATAATCGCCTCCAGAGTGCACAGAACTCAGCTTTTACTCGAGCAATAGTACAGTCCGAACGACCTTCCCGCGCGGTCGGCATGACGTTCATTTCGGGTGTCATATCTGAATCATTGATATTCGAAG